GCTTTACAGTCTGTCTATTCAGCAGTTTGCAGTCTTGGTCCGTTCAGAGAATCTCACCAGTTCACCTATGCCGTCACCATCTTGCCCCGTCCTCTAGAACAATTCTTAATAGCAGGGAAGGCAGAGGAGTGGTGGGGTAGATGTCTACCTTCCTCTCTTCTCTCCTTGGTGGTGGTAAGTGGTAAATTGAGCCACTGTTATTGATAGGAATATACCAAATAAAATACAGTCGAAAAACAGGCTGAGAATCACTAAGCTAGAACTTCTTTATACCTGCTATGCTTGTCAATTCATAGAATCAGAATCAAGATTTTGAAGGCATATGATATACTTGTTATAGAGGATGAAGTCCTGTTTAATGTTGCCTTCCTTAGACTATATGGATGCCATTCGGATAATCTCAACTCCAGAACAGAAGTACCATGGGGTGGAATGTCTTCATTCACCTCCACCACACTACCCAGCTGGGAGAGAGCCTTCACCTGATCTTCGGGTGGGAGGCTTACATCTCCATGATCAGACAGCAGGGCCAAGTTCTTTCCCCGAGGATGAATCTCCGCATAATTTTCTTTTTTAAAATTTTTAAAAAATTTTAAATATGTGAGGTACAATTCAGGGTTAGGTATATACAAATGTTCGTCATGCAGGTACCCTTGTTGGTGAGGCACGCCCCCTCCCGCCCAGCAGTTTCCCACTACTGCCAATCCCTTCCTTATAGTATTACGATAGTTGTTCAAAGTCTGCTTATGAGTGAGAACATGTGATACTTAACAGTGATGCATAATTTTCATTTTATCAAGCACGTGCTATATACACTTTAATTCATCTTATCCAATTTTATCAAGTTAATCGGTCATAATTAAACATTTCTCTATCTTAAGACTTTTAGGTTATATATCAAATTTCAAAATTATGCATAATACCATAATGAACCACATTTTTAAAGATATAATTACAGAAGTGAATTTGCCCATTATAACTCCCTTAAAGCTTCTATGTCTTATTGGTGATTGTTTCCTGAAATGTTTTACAAGTTTTTGGTACTGCCAGAAAAGTGCCTGTTTAATATACACTTATCAACATTTTGTGCTATCAGGATTGTAAATAAAGAGACTTACCAATTTACAAATAAAGCAGTCAGCTTTCTTTTTCTTTTAAACATGTGGGTAATAATTCAGGGTTAGGTATACAAATGGTCATTGTACAGGTAAAGTTTGGACCTTACTTTGGTCCCCACTTCACCTGATTTGAGATCAGGTACCTTATTAGTAAGACCAATAGACATGACTAAGGAACATGAAATTAAAACAATAATTCCCAACAAATGCACAGATGAAATCATAATAATTAAGAAAACAGTAAGCAGGTCTCTGTATGTCTACGTTCATTCATTAGGGAAAACAGCATATTGGGTGCTTTTGTGCAGTATTGTGCTGTACCATTTGTGCTAATGGGACTTGACAAATCAGGTTATAAAAATATACTGCTGAATTTCAAATATTCCTAAAATTAGAAAATCAGGAGCAAAACACAATTTATATATACCAAGAGGAAACTGATGAATATTAATCAAGGGTAGAGTATGAACAAGGTGGTGGCAGGAGTGGAGATGGGGATAATACAGAGATGAATATATTGTAGCAGGAGAACCAACACATTAAAAACAATTTTCTAAAGCAAAATATAAGAGTGGCCCTTGAGAAAGCAAGAGCCATGGCTGGCCAAAGATCCGAGGAGCCTTCTTGGAAGAGATCCTATTTGGATGTATCTTTGAAAGATGTGATAGGAATTTGACAAGCAAATAAAAAAAGAAATTGGAAGGGATAACTACTTTTGAGAATCACAATTATTATATCATTACTGCTTGTCCCAACTAAGAAATTTTCCTAATTAAATTTGGCTATCTCAATGAAAAGTAGATTAGGCTATTTTTTTTTTCTAAAAGGGATTACTTTCAGGGAAGCAATTATATTCCTAGAATATCTTTGACAATGTTAAAATAGATTTCATGTAGTTCCTGTATTTTTCTGGATGTGATATAATTTTCTGAGTTAAAGTGTAACTTCTGTTCTTAGACCAAAAGAAAAATAAGAAACAATATGTAGAGTCTAAAATTTCATCTTATTGATGATCAAAGCATAAGATTTTTAATCTTGATGCAAACTGTGTTGTAAAAAATATTTTATTTCATATTTATTTGAATCTTGGGGTCTATTCTGTCATAATTAGAAATATACTATATGAAGATAAAGTTCATATTTTTTCATTTTTCAGGTCCTCCAAAAGTGCTTTATAGATGAATAAATATGATCTTTCGAGTGAGCAAGCCTCTATTCACCGAGTGGGTCAAATTTTCAATTTGAGGTCTTGTAAGCCAGACTTCTCTAAATCATTACATTTCCCCAGGCTTATGTTAGGGTATGGGATCGTTCTTTTTCATGAGCAGATAGTGATGGAACTCTCATACTTAGGTTCTCCTAGAAGGGAATAAGAAATTCTCCCCATGCATGCTACTGTTTTGAGCCTCTGGTTAAGAGGTTTCTTAAGCCTGAACTACCTTTCTCCACTTGTTTGCCAGGCTAACTTGGCTTAGTCCTCAAGACTTAAATATCATATCTATATTCATTTTATATTTCTGCTGTAACAAACTATCACAAATTAGTTGTTTGCAACAGCAAAAACGTATTATAGTTCTGGAGGTCAGGTCACTGGGCTAAAATCAAGGTGCTGGCAAGGCAGCCTTCGTCTCTTGACCTCTAGAATCTGTTTCCTCACCCTTTATTTATCTTCTAGAGACCACCCCCATTTCTTGACGCATAGCCTCTCCCTCCGTAGTCACAGCTTTCTCTGACCACAACTTGGAACGGTTCTCTACTTTTCAGCATTTGTATAATTATATTGGGCCCATTTTGCTAATACAGACTAATCTCCCCATCTTAAGGCCCTTAACCTTAATCACAGCTGCAAATCCCTATTGCCATAGAAGGCAACATATTCACAGGCCCCAGGGATTAGGGCACAGGCTTCTCTGAAGGGCCATGGTTATGATGACTACGGTTCCAAGTCTGACTTCCAGGGCCCTGCTCTGTCTCTCAGTCTAGTCATTTATATCACTTGTTTGCCTTCTCAGTTTCTATCTTGGGATTCTGAGTTCCTTTAGGGGGAGAAAAAAGGCATTTCTTATTTATTCCTCAGTACCTAGCACATTCATATTCAATGCATGATTATTTAAATAAAAGATGGAGTCCAGGCTGGGTTTGGTGGCTCAGCCTGTAATCCTGGCACTTTGGGAGGCCGAGACGAGTGGATTGCCTGAGCCCACAGATTTGAGACCAGCCCAGGCAACTTGGCGAGACCTCGTCTCTACAGTTAAAAAAAGAAGAAATTAGCCAGACATGGTAATTCCAGGTACTCGGAAGGCTGAGGCGGAAGGACCGCCGGAGCCCAGCAGGTCAACGCTGGGGTGACTGTGAGCGTGCCACTGCACTCGAGCCTGGGCGACAGAGTGAGACTCCAACTCAAAAAAAAAAAAAAAAGAGAATCCAAAGATGCAACCAAATTATGGATAAAGAGTTAAAAGCTGAGGAAGCTAGTTCTGGATTTGGAACAAGGTCTTTGAGCAGAAGGGAAAAAAAAACTATAGTTTTTATTAATTTTTAAATTCAAGAATAGCTTTTAACGACCAACAATCCAAAATTGGTCTTAGATAAAGGAATGTGGCTGTTTCAATGCAGCTGTGTGTAATTCAGAATGAAGGGAGGTTTGCCACAAGACCAGTGCAGTGCCGGAGAGATGTCAGCCCTCACATGGATCCCCCCTGGCATTTTAGGACTTGGAGAGCTGCAGACTTCGTCTGGATCCTGAGTTGGACCGGCACAGATATGAGAGGAAGATCAGCTTTGCTGGGGTCCTGGATGAAAATGAAGACTCGAAAGATTCTCTCCACAGCAGCAGCCACACCCTCAAATCAGATGCAGGTGTTGAGGAGAAGAAAGGTATGGAAAAATAAGTATTACCTCACATCTCAGGGTTTCACAGAGGAGATTTAGTCTGGGGTCTAAACTACCAAACTGTGTGCCCATGTTGTTGCCTCCTTATGGTACTAATGGTGTAGGCTCAGTAATGTAGGAAACCACACTAGTTAGAGGTTGTATGCTGTGGTCAGAGAGGCCTGACTTCTAATTCCAGTTTAGCAACTCTCTAAATTCCACTGACTCCAAGATGCCATCTAGTGTAAGACAAACCGGTGTTTTATTTACAAAGAAAAAAGGAAAAACACTCCCAATTCAACTCTTAGGGAATACTTTTTTAAAAAAAAATCACTTAGCTTGTATTTTATCTTTATGGTAAGAAGATTTTCTAACTTAATTAGACATAGATTGTTATTACTATTATGTATCATTTTGTGCAGCCAAAATATGTATCTAAACAAAAGCTGACTAGAGTTTTTCTAAACCATCTTCAATTCAGAGTTCAAATTTCATAATCACTTTGCAACTCAGAGTTGCCAGTGGCTATGTTTTTCTATATGACAGTGTCCTCTATGCCATCAGAATGTTGGGGATACATCATCTCTTAAATGGGTTTATTTTACACAGTAAAGCTATTTTTGCTAGTTACTTATGCCAACTTGCAATTGTATGAAGTTAGCCTACTTTCAATCCCTCTTCAGAAATGTGGCTAAACACATGTGATCTATCCCTGCACACACTCTCCCACCTCCCTGCCACTTGGTTCCCTGGAGTTGAGACCCTGACACCTATTCTGTATATTGCTGGTGCTTTAATGTTCACATGGACACAAGCAGTAAGGTGTCACAACTGCTACTTGGCACTAGTGACAAAGCATCTTTGATTGTATGACAAGTTCCATTTTTAGATATGTTAAAATGTGAAAAAGTTATACATCTTAAAATGGGTGAAATACAGTAACTCACTGGTGGCCTTGCCCAAGTGACTTACCTTCTAAGTTTTATTTTCCATAAAATTGGGTTAATGATGCCTACTCCTTTGTGATGTTGAAACTTTAAATAAGACAATGCAAGTAAAGCAAAAACAGTAGTTGGGGAATAGTGGGTATGCAATAAATATCACTGTCATTTAAAAATATATCATGAGCACGTAGATTAGAACTCCCACAGAAAATCCTAATTATGACCTATGACCTACAAGGTTGCTCTCTAGAGGCTCCTTTAACTGGTCAATTTCAGTGCTTTTCTAATGAATTTCAATTAAAGAATAGCAGCACATTTGTTATGCGTCAATATGTTTTAATGCATTGAGGTATTTTTCTAGTCTCCTATAGACAATGACTCAATATATGTTGAAAAACTTACTGAATGAATGACTTTTAGAAGGAAAAGCCCTATACAGAGAAAACAAGAATTATTTAAAATCTTGTAAGGAATGAATATACACTGGGAAAAGTTTGAATGGTTCAAAATCAAAATGTTGTTACAACATTTTTTAAATGTAAATAATTATTATATCATATTACATTGAATTTGTGGCCAACAGAGGCCATGTTGCAGGAAGGATAAGCCAAGTCTTGAGCAATTTCTGAGTATGAAGCATTATCAAGTCAATATTTTAAAAATTAAAATGAGAACATATTCACAAAATTGGCAAACATTTTTCCAAAAATTCCCAAATATTCCTTAACCCATTTGACAAGTTGATGTCAGTTACTGAAGCCAACATGAAAATGGGGGCTATGGAGACCCTGCTAACTAAAATTATTAATATTTTACTGAAAATATTATGCTGTCTGTTTTTTATAAAACCTAGAAATGTCAGATCCTGAAATAAATAACCTGAGGACAATTCAGTTTCTACTATGGAAAACTACGGTGAAATAATCCTTAGAATGAAAATATCTGCCTAAAATCTCCAAGCAGAGTCTGTCAAAATATTTTACCCGTATTCCAAATACAAGTAAGACCAGTATTCCAAAATATACCAAGACTGGCCTGATTATTCAACAATCATTTACTAGCACTTACTGTTTGCAGAAATTATTACAGATGTCCAGAATACAGCAATGAACAGGAAAATTGTCCCACCTATATCTCAATTTATATTATCTAATAGTTAATACCTAAGAGTTATTTGCATGCTCGTGAAAAACACAAAATGCCAGACTTTCGAGGGGAGACAAGTAGTTTAAAGCAAAACAAATTAGGGTCAAAGTTATGACCCAGAGTGGGGAGGGAGGAATCAGAGAAGGGCCCCATAACAGACGTTGAGGAGAGACCTGCGTGATGTGAAGAAGCCAATCAGGCAAGAATTGATGGAGGAGTCTTCCAAACAGAGGCAATAGTGAGCTCCAGGTTTTGATGCAGGAATGTACTTGGAGCATTTGAAGAAGGGCAAAGAGACCAACATGGTTCATGACCACCACAACAGAACGAGTTAGAGAAAGAGTAGCAGGAGATGGGTCAGGAACTTACACAAAAGACAAATAGGGTCTGGTAGATATGGTTGGAAATTTAATTATATTTTAAGTGTATCAGAGAGTCATTGGTAGATTTGACCAAAAAAGTGATATAATGTGTGTATTTATGATTGATGCGTTTAAAAGATGACTTGAACTATGGGAATGTGGAGGAGGCAGAACAGTTAGGTAGTTGCCTTAGTCCAGGAAAGAGGAGATGGGACTGCCAAAATCCTATGATATTTGGTAGTGTAAGAGCCATTAGGGCTTGCTGATGGATACCATGTGGGATGAAAGGAAAGGGGGAAAAAGATGTTTTATCCAGTTTAGAGAATTTGTTTCACATTCATATTAGTTCTCATTGTTATAAAGGCTAAAATTCAGTGCTGTACAATCTCCACAGATGGTTTTCATGCACAATACCAAATATGAATTCTAACTGCTGTGCCCCTTGAAAATAGCCAATGCCTTAGTTTTGAACACTAATTTTTCAATGCTATAGGATGTTTCCAATGATCTTTGGTGGTAGAGCAGGTCCTCAAAATTAAATGTCTCCAAGATCACATAAATCTGGGATTATTTTCTGCATTTGTAGGCTGAACATAAAATCAGGTGTCATAAAATCCGGTAAGAATGTTAGTGTGTGCCTCTTGTAACAAAATCTGAGAATTAGCTCTCTAAACTTTTTCTCTACTTCCCAATCTACTCAGACATGAAATTGTACTAGTAGCCATTAAAAATGATAATTGTATTCTGTTTCAAACACATTTCAGATAGGGGGTAAAGTCTAAATTAGCCTGAAAATAACCGTGAAAAAATGGGCAAGTTTTGTTCTATGATTAAAATACAGCCTTACAGTTCATAGTTTTTGTGAGATTCCTCTAACCATGCTGCAAGAAATTCCACCCAGATGTGAGATCTTGTTCAAATATGTTCAGCTGAGTGGTGATAATTTTAGTCTTTCTCAATCACAAGAGTAAATCAGAGATTAAACATTAATGTTTTTCAACAGGAAGTCTTCTCGTGTCTCCTGTATATGGCATTAAAGTATATACTTGGCCAGGTGTGGTGTCTTGTGCCTATAATCCCAGCATTTTGGGAGGGCAGGAAGATTGCTTGAGCCCAGGAGTTCAAAACTATCCTAGGTAGCATAGCGAGACCTTGTCTCTTAAAAAAAAAATTAGTGAGGCATGGTGGCACACACCTATAGTCCCCACTACTCAGGCTGCTGAGGCAGAAGCACCACCTGAGTCCATGAAGCTGAGGCTGCGGTGAGTCATAATCATGCCACTGGACTCCAGCCTGGGCATCAGAATGAGACCCCAACTCAAAAAAAAAAAGTACCCATTTAATTAACATTTTAAAGAGTTATTTAAGTCCATTGACAGTCACATATTAACTCTCCTGTGGGTGAGAAACCTAAAACTAAAATGCAAGCTTTCCACTAAAACTTTTAAAAATATTAATAACTGCCTTAAATAATTCCTAAAAAATCTTTTTTATGTCTTAAGAAGGTTAGTTTACAAAACTGGCCCCTTTCTGATAAAGGACTTTAAGTCTTGAAAACTTTCTTTATCCCACCTTTATAAACTCAATGTGGGACAATCCCAGATCTTCAAAAGGAAAAGAAGGTGTGTATGTGATTGTGGGAAACAAGAATCCTTTTGATTTTTTTTAAAAATAGGCTTCAAGTATAAACGTGTTCCTTTTACCCTTTTATTTTCCTTGCTGATGACTGTTTCTTCCAGAACACTAAAGATGAATAATACGTGCTCTTCTTGGTACACATAGACTGTGAGGTTGGCTCAGGGTGTGCAACATTGGGACACACATCTCACCTAACCTTTTGACTGAAAGGAGGATGCTATGAAATCACTAGGTGCATGCAAATGGAACCATTTCACACTCACGCTCACCTCCAGCACCCCAGTGAAAACACTTTGTTTAGCTCCTTTGCTGAGGAGCAGAGCGGAACCCACTGCTGACTATTGGAGAGAGATGCACCTTTTGTTTTTATTTCTTAATGAGGTATTCCAAAAACGAAGAGGTTTACATGACAGCTCACAGAATTCTGTAAGTCCCATGTCAAAACAAAAACAAAAACCAACGGTTTGTGGTTCTACGGAATCAAGGGATCACATGATGGAAATGTATCGAGCAGTCCTACTTGCTGCCGAAAGGGCACACTCATGCTTGTGAACCCTGGGCCAGAAAGACAGCAGGTTACTTCCAGACCCAATGAGCTATGTATCCCAGGAGGAGGCGGAACCATCCCTTCCTGGTGGTCCCCGCTCCTGATTGCCTGACAGATCCTGGAGGCCTGGGGGCTTGGGAGAAGCTCTTCATCTAGAGGGCAGCGCACCCTGGCCAACAGAGCGGAGGCTGACCAGGGACAGGTTGGGGAGAGCTTGGATGTAACACCGGCTGGGGAAAACTAAGGAGGAAAAAGCCCTATTTTATTCTTTTAATACAGTTCCCAGCAGGAAGATCAGGATAGGAGGTTCCCGCCTGCTCCAGATTCAAGGAACCCGCAGTTTCCAGGTGAAGGAGGGGGGTTCCTTGTCCAGCATTCGCCGGTTCGGCAGCTTAAAGAGCAACAAGTTATCACGGCAGGACTCAGAGCCCGAGGCTGAGGAGCTGCAGCTGTCCCAGAGCAGGGGCACTGTCACTGACCTAGGTAACATAGAGGAGCGGGCTGTGCAGGGAGTGGGGGGGTAGGAAGGCAGGACCCGTGTCCTGAAACAGCTGACGTCTGTTTCCTGACATCGCCATAGGTGGAGGGTAGAGCCTCAGGGTAGATGACTCATTGTCTGGAAACCACACTACCCTCTAGAGCAAGGCTGCTCAAACCTCAGCGTGCATAGGGCTCACCTGGGAGTCTTGCGAAAATGCAGATTCTGATTCAGCGGGTCTGGGGTGGGGATCTGAGAGTCTCCGTTTTTAACAAGCTTCCAGGTGATTTAAGGGCCAAACTTTAGAGCAGCGAGAACATAGCTTATATATTAGGGAAATAAAACACTTTAATGACAAGGACAGTTTTTTGAACTCCGGATGTTCCCATTCTTCTGATCAGGAATGTCAAAGTCAATGTAGAAATTGCCTTGGGGACAGCTACCTAAAGATTTTCTATATTTTAACTTATTTAACGGCAAGAACAACCAAAATATCACAGAGGAAGGAAAGATATTTAACGGCAAGAATAACCGAAACATCAGAAAGATTGTCTACAAATGACAATTAGAGATCTTTGTTTTCTCCAACTATTCAGTGAGCAAAATTCTATTTAATCCTTGCCTTCTCTGCAGGGATGCTCTAAAAATAAGTTAGGGGACAATTGTCCAATGTGTTAAACACCTGAGAATGAACTATATACAATCAAAGCTTTAGAACTGTGGATTATCACTGCAGGATCCAAAGAGACGCCAAATCCCAAAATATGTCAGTCTAAAGTAAGGGCCTTGTTTAGCATCTTAATAGACAAGAAAAGTATTAAGTAGGCATGAAGATAGAACTCATCAGCTGCCTAGAATTAACTCTTAGGTAAAAGCTGAAGCACATTCTCTTTGCCATCCAGTCCCTGCATGAGCGGTAAAATAGAAAACTCCTCTTTCTAGGTAGGTAGTTTCAAAAGTTAGCAATAAATGCGTATAAATTATCGATCGAGTCTGCTGAAATAGATGCTAAGTATAGCTAATCAAAGAAAGTTTAAAATAGGAAATACTTCTATACCCTCCTACCCTTGCCTTTGAAAATAGCTAATTTATGCACTACTTAACATTCAGCTTATTTTTAAGGAGACAATTTTTTTGAACCCTATAGCTTCCTTTAAAAAAAAAAAAAGTCAGAAGCTATAACAACAGTATCATCAATTAGTTTGGGAGAAAAACTATTGCAATTCACTATTTGAATTGATCAACTCATACCGACCAGTTAAGTCAGAATAACCAGGCTAAAGATACTGTTTTTGTTCCTTAAAAGATCCATGAAAGCATTTAGATTTGAGGACAAAGCTTTGTGGTGTAGTCTACTAAGTAGTGAAGTCTTGATTAATGTCTCCTTTCTACTTTCCCACTGAAAGAAGCAGAGATACAGGGTTGTTCGAAATTGGACATCATTGCTTCCATGTTCCCTTAATTGTTCCAAGGCACTCACCCATCTTTGGAATAGCCCCGATAGCAAAGCCTAGCGGCTAGAGCAATCAATAGCTTTGACTCAACAGTGGCGGCAGCAGTGAGGCCACTGCAGGGTGGTTGGTGTCCCCACTTAATGACACCTGCAAGGTCTGGTCAGTCTGAAAAGGATTGGGGCACACTCCATCAATTACTGGCTCATCTCAGCAATTCAAGGACTTGACTCTGGTTGTTTTTTTTCTTTTCTTCTCTGCTCCCATCTCTCAAAATGGAAGCCACCATAACAGAGCTCATAAATGTCTTTGAAATTGCCAGTTCAGCTGGTGGTGAAGGAAACTGCTCCTTATTCATATTCCTCCAACCAAGTCAGTACTATGCCCTGTAACCCACTGGGCCATGATAGTCTGCCCTAGGATTCAAAAGCATGGACAACGATACCATTCCAACATGTTTTCTAGGGAGGCCGAACACTGAAACCTGTTTTGGTATTTTTCTTTTAAAGAAGGGAGTCCTTGGAGTGCAAGTGAGCCCAGCATTGAGCCAGAGGGAATGAGTAATGCCGGCACAGAGGAGAATTACCATAGAAACATGTCATGGCTTCACGTAAGTAGGAATCTCAGAGAGAGCCCTGAGATCAATTTCCTTGGGCCTTGGGGAAGATCCAGAAAGGGAGAATGAAAGATTAGACTAAACCATCCATCAGTGTAGCCTTCAGGAGAAAGCTGTATTTTCACTGAATCTCTCAATGCTCTCTAGGTTTGGTATTCTGCTGAATTGTATTCATCTTAAACTTCAACGAAAACCAAGGCTCTTTTGTTATGGCTGGCTTGTGGGTCCCCATAAGTTAGGGAAGATCATGAGATCAGGTTGTTGGCCGAGATAACCTGAGTGACAAAGCCTTGGCATCACCATCAGTTTTATATAGGTTACCGTGAATGCTAAGAGCAAGGTCATGGGGTCGGTCTTGGGTATGTATGAAATCAAATTGTCAACTGGGGCAAGGAGATGGAGAAAGCCGCATCTCAAAGGGCTGTCCAGAGGGCACAGGCAAAAGGGAATCCCAAGGAAACTGTGGGCAGAAGGTGGAGTGCAAGATCCGGGCATGAAGAAAGAAGCAAGAAAAAAGGTAAGGAAGGGTAACCTCAGAGGTACAGTTAGCAGGATATCCTCAGTACCACTCTATACTATGTATGGTATACTTCATAGATAATCACTATCACTCTTCATCCTGATTTCAATCTATTTTCCTGGCAGGGTTAGATAAGAGCTAGCTGGAGCATAATGCCCCTCAGATGCACAATGTTGTACCTTCACGATAAAAGTAATCCCCAGAATTGGCTGATTTTGAGAATCTCTAGAGCAGCTGTTTTTGGAAGTAAACTCTTTAGGAAGTCTAGCCTAGACATTTACAAAAAACGTATACAAAACCTGTGTATTCAGCCCAATCAATTTCTATAAAATAAACACACCTGTGTCATCACTGGCAGGTCAAGAACGATCAACACCTTAGAAACCCATATGGGCCACCTACCAGTCATTACCCTCCCATTATTGCTTATAATATTTTCTTAAGATAATTTTAAATTCTGTAGACTCTGCACTGATGTACATTTATTGTTTTTGATATTGTTAGGTTGTCTTGTCTTTTTTTAAAATCAATTTTGTTAGAAGTTTGCCGATTTTGTTTGGCTTTTCCAAGAACTCAGAACTGGATTTTGGTTTTGTCATTTTTGGAATGTTGGATTTTGGTTTTATTAATTTCTTCTTTTATTACTTCATTCTACTTTCTTTGAGTTTGTTTTTCTTTTCTTAACCTCTTGATGTGAACACTTGGATAACAGATTTGCAACTACTTTACTAATACTTCATTTCAAGTTATTACATAGGCTGGGCACAGTGGCTCAGCCTGTAATCCCAGCACTTTGAGAGGCCGAGGCTAGAGGATTGCCAGAGCCTGTGGGTTCAAGACCAGCCTGGGCAACTTGGTGAGATCTCGTCTCTACAATAAATAAAAAAATAAGCCAGGCACAGTAGTGCGTGCCTGTAGTTCCAGCTCCTTGGAAGGCTAAGGCAGAAGGTTCACCTAAGTCCAGCAGGTCGAGACTGTGATGGCCGTGAGCATGCCACTGCACTCCAACCTGAGTGCAGACTCCAACTCAAAAAAAAAAAAAAAAAAAAAGATAAAGTTACTACATAAATGTTCTCTAGGAACAGCATTAGCTGTCTCACACGAAGTTTGATATTGGCTCATTATCATTCAGTTAAAATAATTTAAAATTTCTATTATAATATATTCATAATTGACCACAGAGATTTTAAAGTCCATAGCTGATAACTTCAGTATATGAATCTATTTTCTTTACTCCTCTTGGTTCTGCTCCTAAAATGCTTAGTCATTTCACTGACTACTAGACATGGTGAATGAAAAATTATAAAGACACAATGGTGAATATGACACATTTGTTAAAATCCATAAAATATAGAAAGTCAAGCGGTAGCCCTAATGCAAGCTATGAACTTTGGCTAATAATGATGTGTCAATGTAGATTCCTTTTTTCTAATAAATGTGCTACTCTGGTTTGAGACGTTGATACTGGGATTGGTTGTCATATGGGGAGACAGGGTGTATATGGCAACTCCATACTTTCTGCTCAGTTCCACGATAAAGCTAAAATGTTTTAAAACTTAAAATTTATTAATTTAAAAACTTACAGTCTCAGATGATGTAATCTCTTTCACTGTATCTTCTGGCAGACAACAAAGAAGCAGATCACCTCAGTCCAATCACAGAAACTAAGCTAACTTGACTTAGACGATTTCTAGTCTATTTTCCCCACCCACCACTCACCTTTTAGTATGAAGACTTCTCTCAGTAAGAGTCTGGGGTGTGTTTTAGGGCCTCTCATTCCTGATGGGTCAGAAATCCCAATTTTTTTTTTTTTTTTGTCGCAATAAAATTGCCAAAATCTCTACTCTGCTTGACTTTTTAGCTCCTCAGTCAGAAAATGCCTAGAAGGGAAAACTGTCACTCAGTGTCAGTCTGCCCTCTCTGAATCTCGTTTTGCTACATGATCTAGGCCATTCAGTGCCTCTCTCTTTTTTTGGTGATTCTGAATTTCAATTTTTACTTTCTAGCCCCCATGAGATTGCCTAAAGCTCTATCTGGCTTCTTGACCACTTATGTCTAGTTAAGAAGTAGCAAATGTCTCAAGAAGAAATGTGACATGTGCTCACATTGTTCTTACTCCAGCGAATATTCTTTCTCTCCACATCAAACCTTTTATGTCCCAACTGCTTCACTATCTTAGGTATTCAAATATAAAAATCATAGCCACTCCCATTTAACATAGTCCTGGAAGTCCTAACCAGAGTGATCAGGCAAGAGAAAGAAATCAAAGGTATCCAAATAGGAAAAGAGATTGTTAAATTGTCTCTCTTTGCCAATCGTATCATTCTATATCTAGAAAACCCTGAATCCCACCAAAAGACTCTGAACCCTGATAAATGACTTCAGTAACGCTTTGGGATATAAAAGCACTGCTCAAAGATCCATTGCATTTTTATACACCCACAGTGTTTAAGATTAGCACCAAATCAAGAACACAATGGCATTAACAATAGCCATATACATACAAAAATAAAATACCTTGGAACACATCTAACCAAAGAGGTGAAAGATCTCTACAGTGAGAACTACGAAACATCTGCTGAAAGAAATAAAAAATGACACAAGCAAATGGCAAAATATTCCATGTTCATGGATTGGAGTAATCAATATTCTTAAAATGTCCATGATGCCCTGATTAATCTACAGATTCAATGCAATTCCCATCAAAACAGCAGCAACTTTTTCACAGCTCTAGAAAAAACAGTACTTAAATTCATATGGAAGCAAAAAAGAGCTCGAATAGTCAAAGCAATTCTTAGCAAAAAAGAACAAAGCTGGAGATATAACCCTGCTGGACTTCAAACTTTACTACATGGCTATAGTAACCAAAATAGCATGGTACTTGTACAAAAAATGGACACATAAACCAATGGAACAGAATAGAAAACTTGGAAATGAAACTGCTGGCCTGCAGCCAAATGATCTTCAGCAAAGTCAACAAAAATAAACATTAGTGGAAAGGGCACCCTATTTAACAAATTGTGCTGGTAAAACTGGCTAACCATATGCAGAAGAATGAAGCTGAATCCTTTTTTTTTTCACCATGTACAAAAATTAACTCAAGATGAATTAATGTCTTAAATGTAAGACATCAAACTATAAAAATACTAGAATAAATCCCAGGAAACACTCTTCTGGACATTGGCCTAAATAATAAATTCATGATCAAATTCTCAAAAGCAAATGCAGCAAAAACTAAAATTGACAAGTGGGACCTAATTAAACTAAACAGCTTCTGCACAGAAAATGAGACAAACATAACTATTGACAGAGTATATAGGCAACCTTCAGAATAGAAAAAAATATATTTTCTAGCTTTGCATCCAACAAAAGCTTAGTATTCAAAATCTGTAAGAAACTGAAATGAATCAACAAGAAAAGAAAACCCATTAAAAAGTGGGCAAAGATCATGAACAGACACGTCTCAAAATTCTCACAATGTTTCAAACGTTTTCATTATTATTTCTTGGTGATCTTTAACCAGTGATCTTTAATGTTATTATTGTAATTTGAGGGAGGCACCATGAAGCACACCCACATAAGACATTATACTTAATTGATAAATGTTATGTATGATCTGACTGCTCCACAGAACAGCTGTTTCTCATCTCTCTCTCTCCTTGGGCCTCCCTATTCCCTGAGACATAACAATATTGAAATTAATTAATAACCCTGCATTGGCTTCTAAGTGTTCAAGCGCAAAGAGGAGTCATTTATCTAGTACTTTAAATCAAAAGCTAGAGATGATTAAGTTTAGTGAGGAAGGTGTGTTGAAAGCCAGGATAGTCTAAAATATAGGCCTCTTGTTAACCAAGTTGTGAATGCAAAGTAAAAGTTCTTGAAGGAAATTAAACGTACTACTCTAGTGAACACACAAATGACTTTTTTAAAAAGCAAAACAACCTTATTGCTGATATGGAGAAAATTTGAGTGGTCTGAATAGTAGATTACCCCAGCCATAACATTCCCTTATGGCAAAAACTAGCCCAGAGCAAGACCCTCTCTTCTATTCTCTGAAGGCCGAGACAGGTAAGGAAGGTATAGAAAAAAAAATGGGAAGCTAGCAGAGGTTGATTCATGAGACTCAAAGAAAGAAGTCATCTCTGTAACATAAAAATGCAAGATGAAGCAGCAGATATTGATGCAGAAGCTGTAGTGAGTTATTCAGAAAATCTAGCTAAGGTCATTGATGAAGGTGGCTACACTAAACAACAGATTTTCAATGTAGAAAAAAACAGCCTTCTGTTGGATGATGCTACCAACTAAGACTCTCATAGCTGAAGAGAAGTCAATGCCTAGCTTCAGAGCTTGAGAGGACAGATTGACTCTCTTGTAATAAAGCTGGTGACTTTAATTTGAAGCTCATTTACTATTCCAAAACTCCTAGGTCCCTTAAGAATTATCCTAAATCTACTCTGCTTGTGCTCTATAAATGGAACAAAAAAATCCTGGATGACAGCACATCTGTTTGCAGCATGGTTTACTGTTAAGCCCACTGTTGAAACCTACTGCTCCATTAAAAAAAAGAATAGAAAAAAGAGAGAGATTCCTTTTAAAAGATTACTGGTCACTGACAATGCACCTGGCCATCCAAGAGCTCTGATGGAAATGTACAAGAAGATAAACGTTGTTTTCATGCCTGCTAACACAAAATCCATCAGGGAGGACCCCAATAAAAAGTTATCCTTTTGTTTTGGATGGCAGGCCCTGTGTAGTACCAACTTCTCCCACTAGGTATATGTTCTAGGAACCCATCAGCATCAGCAAACCAGGTAGACCTGTTGTGAGAGGCTGCATTTATCTTCAATATATATCTTTTGGATATTCTTTCAACGGGTTTGCCCATTTCATGGTGGGTGATTTACAAGTGCACCTGCCCATACTGTGCTGTGTGTTCAGCATCTTTTGCCCAAAAATGGCCTGACTCCCGTGCCCCACCCTATTCACCCAATCTCACCCTGAGTGACTTATTTTTCTTGTTTCTCCAAATGAAAAAAGTCCTTAAAGGGAAACCGATGCGAAAGACATGAAACAAAAAAATAGCAGAAGCACTAAAAGGCATCGGAATTGATAAGTTCAAAAACTGTTTTGAGCAGTGGAAAGTGTCTCAATAGGTGTATTATATCAATGGAGAGTCCTTTGAAGGTGACTGAAATTTAAGCATTTAAAAATAAATACATAATGTTTTGTGAATACATTGCAGTTTGAGGGGAGTTTTGTACAGCCCATGAATCAAGAAGTTATTTCAACTTTCAAGTCTTATTATTTAAGAAATGCATTTTGTAAAGCTAGAGCTGCTATGGATAGTGATTCCTGTAATGGATCTGGGCAAAGTAAACTGAAAACCTTCTGGAAAGGGTTTACCATTCTAGATGCCATGAAGAACATGTGTGATGTAGGAGGTCAACAAATCAACATTAACAGGGGTTTGAAGGAAGTTGGTTGCAACACTCATGGATGACTTTGAGAAGTTAGAGTGCAGTGGAGGAAGTAGCTGCAGATGCGGTGGAAATAGCAAGAGAACTAGCATTAAAAGTGGAGCCTGCAGACGGGACTAAATTATTACAATATCATTATAAAACTTTAACAAGTGAGGAGTTACTTCTTACGAGTGAGCAAAGAAAGTGGTTTCTAGAGATGAAATCTTCCTGGTGAAGACACTGTGAACATTGTTGAAATAACAACAAAAGATTTAGAACATTATATATACTTAGTTGATGAAGCAGCAGCAGGTTTGAGAGAGTTGATCCCAATTTATTTTTTGAGTCAGGGTCATACCCTTTTGCCCAGGCTGAAGTGCAGTGGCATGATTACAGCTCACTGCATCCTCAACCTTCTGGGACCAATGCCTCCTGCTGCAGCATCTCTGGTAGCTCATAGGTACAGAGGGCCAACTCTCTCTCTCTCTCTCTCTCTGTGTGTGTGTGTGTGTGTGTGTGGTATTTTACTTGGCTGTCCTGATTGTTCAACAGTAGCTACAAGCTACTTCATCATGGTTGGAAAGGAAAGGTATTAGTTTTCTCCTGCTGCATGACAAGTGACTGCAGACTTAATGGCTTTAAACAGCACACATTTATTATCCCACAGTTTTTGTAAGTCAGGAATCCTGGCATGGTTTAGCTGGGTCCTCTGTTTCAGGGTCTTTCCAGGCTGCAGTCACAGTCTTTACCAAATCTCAGGTGTTATCTGAAGGCTTGAAAAAGAAAGTATTTGCTTTCAAGCTCACATGGTTGTTGGCAGAATTTCAGTTCTTCAAGGGCTATTGGACTAAGAGCCTTAGTCCTAGCTGGCTGTTAGCCATAGGCCACCCTCATTTCTTACCATTTTGACCTCTTCAACATGACAACTTGTTTCATCAAAGTCAGCAAAAGAGAAAATCTAAGAGAGAAGTCACAGTCTTGTACAACCTAATCACAGAAGTAGCATCCCGTCTCTTTTGCTGTATTTTATTGTTAGAAGCAAGTCCCTAAACTAGCCCAAACTCATTGGGAGGAGGCTTTACAAGGGCATAAATACCAGATGGCATGGATTATTGGGGACCATCGTAGAAATATCCCTAGATAGAATTATATAGTTATAGATTTCTAAGTTACCTCCACTCCTGCCTCCAGAGCCACAATCAGAATTTCCTGAGGCAAAGTCCAATAATATGTTTATTTGGGTGTTTGCTTATTTGTTTTTCTGCTAAGCTTTCTTGGTGTTTCTCTTGATTGACCAGCTTTGAGAACAACCAGGAACACTTTCTATTTCTTACATGTGTCCTGCCTCATGCCAGGATAAAGTGGAATATCAGGTATATGCAGTAAACCTTGAGAGAGCTGGTTTTTCTGCTTGGAAAGCACTTAACGTTTGTTGACAACTTGAGGAGAGTGAGGTATTGTTAGCTGACTCTGACAGGAATGTGGAGTTTATGATTTTTGTTTATCTTTGTCTCGAAGAAGCAAGGCTCCTCATTCCTGGAAAAATCTGTGGCAGCCCTGCCTGGGAGGTCTGCTTGTCCTTGTCCTTGCAGACTTGCTTTTTGTTCTCCATCCAATATGGCACAAAGACCCTTGCAAGTTATGTGTCAAGGTGGGAGCTAGTCTCATGAAAGATGGAAGCATTCAGAGGATTATCCTATGCACATCTGATAAATTTTGTGGCTCTGGGTATGCTACTGCCTTTTTTAGGATGACTGCTTAAGACAAAGGGCCATCTTTTTTTATTTTAAAATGATCATATCCTTAAATCAACTGAGTTCTTTCCTGGAATTTTAATGGACAATTCTAGGAGATATGAAGATTTGATCCAGATTAAGCTGCAAGAGAAAAGCTAACATATCCCCAAAAACCAGAGGAAAAAAATAATCATTTCACAGAGAGCAAAAATAAAGCTCTTCAGCAGGGTTCAAGTTCCAGTTGAAGATGCTTGACTAGAGTGGAAGAAACAGAGATGTTTACAAGTTTCACCTAAGTGGGTTGGAGTTAAAAATGCCCTGCAGTAGTCAAAAGTCAGCCAGATCCTCTGAGGCAGACCTTCTCAACAGTCTGTGCTTTTCCATCTGGGTCCTTCCGCAAGATAAGAGTTGGGGAGAAAGTGAGTTTTTAAGTTCATAATGTCTATTTGAAAATATTTGAAAATCATACACTCCACAGTCATCGTTCTGAGCTTTTAAAGATCTGGTAACCTTTTTCTGTTTCAAAGAGCTCCTCCTATAAAGTCTGGATGGGGGGGAGAACAAAAAACCAAGCAGATAAAGGCATGCAACTCTTTGTTCCTCTTTTGGAATTACTGAGTTCAAAGTGGTTTCAAGACCCGTCCAGGGAAGTACCTATACTAAATTCCTGTCCTCCGCCTCACAAAAACGTTCAGTCTGCTCCTTAGTTGCCCAGTTAAGTCTCAGAGATGTTGTGTCTTCCAGGTCATGATCCTGCTGTGCAATCAGCAAAGTTTCATCTGCACCCATGTCGACTACTGCCATCCCCACTGCTACCTGCACCACAGCCGCTCCTGTGCCCGGCTGGTCAGAGCCATCAAGCTGCTGTACGGGGACAGTGTGGACTCCCTCCGAGAGAACAACCACCTCGGCAACGTGGCTCTCCGGGGCAAGAAACAGAAAGAGGTAAGCAAATGATCACTGGTTAACATGCCAGTTCTAGGGAGCATGATGTCCAAACAATGTTTTCTCTGGAAATAAAAATGTTCAGGCAACCGCAGCTGTATAAACTAGGCTACAAGTCTGTTTGGCTCTGAGCAAAGGCAGAAGATGAGCCAAGAAAGACAAACGTTTTGCCTTCTTGTCCAGGAGGAAACATAGAATCTATCCCCAGGCTCTGTCTTATTTCTATAAATAAATATGAATGGATAGGGGTGGGTGGTGGTGGTGAGCAAATTATTGTGGTAGGTAGAAATATGCCTCTTCTACCATGGGCACATCCTAATCCCTGAAAACTGAGTATGTTAACTCACATGGAAGAAGACATTCTGCAGATGTGATTAAGAATTTTAGAATGAGACAAGTATCCTGGATTATCCAGGTGGCTCCCTTATGACATAAGGGGCCTTCTAAGTGAAAAAAAGTCGGGAATGGGAATCAGAGACAGAGAAAAAGCGGCAGTGAGAGACGCAGAGGTCAGTGATGCAGGGACTTGAGCCAAGACACGAGGCAGCTTCTAGAAACTGGAGAAGATGAAGAATGGATCATCCATCCCTGGAGCCTCCAGAAGCAACGCAGATCTGCTGCTCCATTTGAAAGTGCTGACCTCCAGAACTGTAAGATACCTATTTGTGTTGTTTTCAGCCACAAAGGTTGTGGTCATTTGTTGCAGCAGTAATAGGAAATCAATACAATTTTATATTAAGAAATAAGCAACAAATGGCCTAGCTTTTCACAGACACATAGCAGAGTAATACAGCTCAATTCAGACGAAAGGGCAGTCCTTCATGAAACAATTGCATTTTCTGAGCATTCTGCTGCCTGTTCCTGACAACCACCCCAAGTTGCTGGAAGAAAGTGCAAACGGTAACCAGGGCTGCTGGGCTCCTGCCAGGGAGACTCTAAACAGCACGATAGCCAAGATGCCTGCCTGAATATGGCAGCTGCAGTTTTGCAAGGAGATTCTTATACAACACCTATTCGTTTCAACAAGAATTCATTATGCACCTGCTGATGGCACAATGTTAGGCTAGATCGTCCACTTAAAAGTAACTGAGTAGGAGCAGAGAAGCTTTCTGAGGAATTTGCAAGTCAGGTTTGGACTGGGGGTGGTGGGGAACAATAACACACACATCACCAGGCGTGGTGGCTCCAGTCTGTCATCCCAGCACTTTGGGAGGCCGAGGCGAGAGGACTGCCTGAGTCTAGCGTTTGAGACCAAGCTGGGCAACTTAGCGAGACCTCATCTCCACAATAAATTAAAACATTAGCTGGGTATGGTAGTATGTACGTGTAGTTCCAGCTACTTGAAAGGCTGAGGCGGAAGGATTGCCTGAGCCCATCAGGTCGAGGCTGCAGTTGTCATGAGCGTACCACTGCAGTCCAGCCTAAGCAACAGATAGAGTGAGAGACTCAACTCAAAAAATATATTTATAAAAAAAATATATATGCACATCAAAAACTACAGAATATGAGCAATAACAACAAAAATGTGCAGTGGAGTTGTATAGCAATTCGTGATGCTTTAACATGTACAAAGGCATTTTTTTAAAAATAACAACTTTTAAATTATGAAATCAATATATGGTTCATTTAAGAGATTTTGGATAACACAAAAGAGCCTAAAGAAAAAAATTATGTATCTCCTAAGTGAGCTAGTTCACCTTCTGGGATATGACCTTTCAGTGTTTCTTCAAAATGTTATGTGTGAGGGTAGAAGGTAGGTACATGTCATTGGCAGTGTTTTTTTATTCTGACAAATCTTTTCAAGAAGTATTTTTCTCCCCCATTTTACAAGTGAAAAATCTGTGACTCAGAAAGATAGATTGTGTACAGTTCATATCTATAATATATTCAGCTAGACTTTAACTTAGAAACATGGAATATCAGAGGCAGGGCTTTTTAAACTAGACTCAACTGCATCTCATGTTATTCAAATAATACAGTTTCTGAGGGAAGTAAAGATAGGAAGTAAATCAAGGTGGAATACTAATAAACTGCATAAACTGACAAGTGATGACATAAAAAGAAAAAAGTCCATATGTTTGTATGTATATACTAGAGAGGTGCCCCCAAAAAGCAGAATTATTTTTCAGAAAGTGGACCCCCTGGAATTCAGGTTTTCCCTGCCAGATAAGTGTTCTAGGAACCCATTGGTATCAGTGTACTAGCTAGTGTTGTTGTGGGAGGCTGCATTCAGCTTCAGTAAAATTTTTTTGAAGACTTTTTTCAATGCATTTGCCCATTTCATGATGGGTGATTTACAAGCACACCTGCCCACACTGTGCCGAGTGGTCGGCATTTTTTTGACCAAAACCAGCTTGAGCCCTGTGTCCCAACCTCCCTATTCACCTGATCTTATTTTTGTTTCCCTGCATTTAAAAAGTCCTCAAAGGGAAATGTTTTGCTGATGTGGAAGAGGTGAAACAAAAAATGACAGAAGACTAAAAGGCATCAAAATCGACAAGTTCAAAAACTGTCTTGAGCAGTAGAAAAAACATCTCGATAGGTGTGTTGCATCAAGCAGAGTGTACTTTGAAGGTGACTGAAGTGAAAACATGTTAGAACAAATACACAATGTTTTATAAATAAAATTCCATTTTGTGGGGGTTCCCCCTCATATATGTATATAAGTGACATTACATCCAAACATCAGTGACATTACATTCAAAGAAACATAAATGACTTTACAGTCAAAGAAGCTTAAATGACTTTACATTCAAAGAAAGTCTATTTTCCTTTATGTATATTTTCTCTTAATAAAAAAGACTCCCTGAGCTTTAAGATAAAGCCATATATGTTAAAAGTCGCAAAAATACGTGAACTTGAACGAATGATCATTGTTCTCCATTCACACTCAAACATTTATTGCTGCTACAGTTTTGCGCTAACTACGTCTTCATCATCTTCGTCTCTAGTCCATACATAGCCAAATCCAGATGTTCTTTAAAAAAAAAAAAGTTCTTCAGGATCCAACTCAGATGCCGTCTCCTCCCTGAAACTTTCTTTGGTCCCTCAAGTGCTAAGCACAGGGCATGGTGCAGATGAACACTAAATGTTATTTTCCTTACTTCCTTGTTCCACTAAATTATAATGCCATTTTACTCGTGTTTTTCTCATTCTTCATTCAATCACTTATCCGTCCATCTATCCACCCATCCATGCATCCGTCCTTTCATTCGTCCATCCATCCAACACACTTGAAAGAACCTGTGTACCACACTGACCCCACACTTGGTGGTGAACGTAATACCAAGCAAAAGAGACCTGGTCTCTGCCCTCGTGTGATCCACCCAATCCAGTCCGAGAGACAGACGTTAATCAAATAAGCCTCCCAAACAGATGTCAAATTGCAACAGCCATCGGTGCAATGAAAGAGTGGCACATTGTTCTGAGACAGCAGATGAATGAGGTTTTGCTTTCGACCGGGCCCAGTGAAAGGCAGCCTTTCCGATAAAGGGACAGTTGAGCTTTGACTGAAGGATGCATGTTGATCACATGCCGAATTTTCCAACCAGAAAGGTGAGGTGAGCACAAAGGACTGTGACTGGAGCATACAGGCCCGGGCTGTGGGAAGGCTTGCAGTCCATCCTGCGAGAGGTAACAAGAAGGCTCTGTCACTTAATTGTAAACCCTTTGAGAACTGAGGAATTCTCACACATCTTGTATCTTGCGTGCCACCCTATCGGAGTTCTCACTGATAGTAGAAGAACAATAAAGAGTGAGTGAGTGAGCGAGCAGAATTGTAGTCCTAGGGTGTCTCATGAGTGCTGTCCACTCTGGCTCTACCAGACCACTGAGCTGAAGTAGCAGTGAGGCTTACCGGCCTTCTGCTCTTGCTCTCACTCAGGAAAGGAAAGGAAAAGTAAAGCGAGACGAAGTGTCTTCCAACCCTGACAGATTGAAATTAGTCATTCAGGTGGAGAGCTGAAAAGATATAATGACTCTTCTGGGATAAACATTTTATTTCCAAAATGCTAGCCTCCCGCTCATGCTCTTTTCTTTGTCTCATGATGTTTTTTCCTTTGCCTGTTGTGAATCTGTCACGTAAATGAACAATGCCCGCATTTCCAGACCCAAAATGAAAATAGTGTAGGCAATAAAGCAAGAATAAAAGGAGAGCTCCGATTAGAATCGAGTCTTCTGAGCAATTGGTGTTTTATTTCTCCTTCCCTTTTAATTGGTTTTTTATGACAGAGTATATTTGTGACAGCTAGAACATTTTGTAACCCATCTAACTCTGATCAATCTGCTAATCTACATTTTAATGTGCAAGAACTCACTGTACATTCTGTTAGTCTATTTTAGTGCACTTCCAAACTTGAGGGTTTTTTAAAAAATAACTTATCATTCTATATGTATATATCACCTTTACCAAAGCATTCTGAGGTTTTTTCTCTGTGCTTATTATGCTTTGTCCAAAGCTATGTTCTAAGTAAAGTAAATGTTCAATTAATGCTTGCTTATGAAAAGAGGAGTAGATAAGACAAATTTTTTCTTTCAACAAAAAAAGGAGAATGAGTGGAGGATACATGCCTCCCCCATCGAAAAAAGGACACAGTGTGGGTAAATTTTGTAAAGCAAGAGATCAACTGATTACCTGCAGAAGTACTCTTTTTTCTAAAGCTATCTATGGATAACATTATTGTGATGGGCCAGAATGACTTTCCACCATAACATAATTCATGTGTTGAAGATTTGTAAGGCAGAGTCTCAGCATAGTGTCTTTCCCAGAAACAAGAGGAAACCCCTTTCTTGGAGGACCCAGTAGGCTGACTTCAACTTTCCCCAATTTTAAATACCTTGTTATTGTCACAGTGAATTATCTTCAATGGTCGTATCTCCTTTTCTACGTATCTTGACTTCTCATTCATTTGCTTGTTTGTCATCTGTCTTTCCTAGTCAGATACACTATCCAGGAAGACATGAACCATAAATGTTTTACTCCTCGGCGTAACTCCAGAAGTTAGCCTAGCTCCTGGCATATGGTTAAATAAAAAATTCATTCTTCAATTATTAAATGAATAAATAAAATTTTTGTTTAAAATAATCAAACATTACTTCTCTCTAGTCAATAATCCTTTGTTGCAAGGAGCAGAAACACATTCAAACTTACTCAAATAATGAGATAATTTCTTCAAAGCAGCTAGGAGAATTTCATGAAACCAGGGACAGAAAGAGAAACATGGCCAAGCCTCAAAAGGTTGAAAACCAGAGCTGCTGTCCATCTCAGGATGCACATAGTCTCTCATCTCTGCTTCTTTCTGCATCATCTCCATCTGCTCACACATCTCTTTGCCCTGACAAGCTTCTGTTGCCTTATTAATCTTGTTCTTAGACTGAAAATCTCAAGGTGGCATCATTATGTATCATCTCAGCAACCATCACTAGATGATTCAAACTCTCCGTCTCTTAATTTCCTAGGACAATAATTTAATGGGGCCATCTCCTCCTCTTTTTGAGCAAAACACCACAAGTGATAAATCCTTAACCAATCCAAGAATTGATTTTGTATTGCAAATCTAAGCAGTAGTGGTCAGGATGAGAACAGAACTCAGAGTCAATCATGATGAAATTTTCTAAGACCTATGCATAGAAGAAAATGACAGTAGTTTGAATTCTACACAATACTACAGCAAGCATTTCTCAGCATCCCTGATAAATTTGGGGGCTGTTTAGCTGCCCCCCATTGACCACAGAATCTATTCGTCAATAGATGACATACTCTATTCATGATAAATTCTGTCCTTTGGTCTTGAGTTGCTAATCTTAAGTTTCTCTACACATCCCTGCCTGATATGTAATTTTAACTACCATGTGCATCTCACAGGCTAGGAAATCTCTAACTCTTCAAGGAACCACAAATGGATGTCTTTGGAACAAGTTTACTCCATTCAATTCATATTACTTCTAGCCAAATTTTACATTAAGTCACCAAAGCAAAAAGCTTTGCTAGTATAAAATCGGGTAACACCAGTAGAGGGCCTTCACATAGAATACCCAAGTACCAATCACTCAAGTACCATCTCTGATATCTATTTCTAATTCTTATCAAGTCATTCTAAAAGAATCACCAAGGCCGGGTTCAGTGGCTCAGCTTGTAATCTCAGCACTTTGGGAGGCCGAGGTAAATGGAATGCCTGAGCCCACTGGTTTGAGATCAGCCAGGGCAACTTGGCAAGACCGCATCTCTTCAATAAATAAAAACTTATCCGGGGATGGTGGTGCATGCCTGTAGTTCCAGCTGCTTGGAAGGCTGAAGCAGAAGGATCACCTGAGCCCAGTAGGTCGAGGCTGTGGTAGCCATGAGTATGCCACTGCACTCCAGACTGCACAACAGAGTGAGACTCCAACTCAAAAAAAAGAATTACTAACCTATCAAGTTGATGTGAAACCCCTCCAATACCCTTTTCCTTTAAAACAAGGACCCAAGTATCATGAGGTCACCAGAACATGCCATACTTCCTAAGGAAATATGGTGGGATATTAAAAATTTGATACTCAGTGCGCTTTACTTCTATTTTCTATTCCCAGTAGGGAGAGTCAAATACAACCAGAGTGTCAGGAACTAACATAAATGGTCATCCTTTTTCCCCCTAAGCTGAGTATTTTCCCATATATGCCTGGTTAAATGTACAATAATTTAATCAATAAATATGTTCAAAAGTATCCCCGAAAAAGACAAAATGACCAACCAAAGGAGAAAATGATGAAGTATTCTCAAACTCAAAAATAATATTTAAAAATAATTGTAATGACCTAGGAAAATATTCATCATAAAATCACAGTGACATGAATTGTTTAAAATTGTATGCACATATGTAGCATCATCACAGTTGTGCTAAGATGCATGGGGGGGAAGGCTAAAAGGAACCAAATAATGGTTATCATTGGGTTGGGGATTACTGAGTTGTTTGTTTTCTTCATGGTTATCCTGTCCCAGATATTCTGCAATGTGGATGTACTGTTTTATAAATAGAATAAAAAGCAGGGAGATATCAATTTTAAACTATCATGACTCTTCTTGAAAGGAAGTCAGATGTTCTACCACATGTATATGAAAAATTATTGCTGTATGTGATTTTAGAACAGGTTTTAAATTACATGAAATAGGGCATGCTATTCATGTTGTATATTGATTTTACAGTCACAGAAAAAAAAAAAAACAACCAGGCAGTGCAATAGTTTTCTCCCCATATAATATGTGTTCCCAAGTATGAGCCTCCATAATTTTTTTTCTTTAGAAAACACAGTAGGAGGTCTGATTCACTTGCTTCCAAGTAGGTTAATTTAAAAAGTCTGTTCCATACCAGTCACAGAATAGATGCATTGTCTTGGGTCTTTTGTCAGAGTTTTGAAAGACTTTCTTGGAACATTCATGTACTTTTAGATTTTCCTTTTCTTTCAAAATATCTCCATCTATCACACTACGGAGCTCTGTTCAGAAACTCTTAAGAAGTTCAGTTTTTCCCTTGGCTAGAGGAGAAAGTGTTTCATTGATATGGCACTGGAAAAACAAATGAGCATTTATTCTGTATGAGGAAGACTCCCTTTTTGCATAGCCTGAAAGTTAAAAAAAAAAAAAAGGAGGAATCAGGGCTCATGATAAATAAACAAGGGCCTGTCCCCATGAGGACCAGTCTTTCTCCAGCTGCTCTGTCTGCTCCATTCCCTGGCATTTAGTAAGTTGGAGGAAGATATTGTTTTATCTGAGCTTTTATGCAAATGAATCAGGCCTATTCTGGACTCTGGTCTAGGAGACAGTTTATAAGAAGAGCTGCTGCCTCCAATAGACAAGTTTTTTTGTTTGTTTGTTTGCTCGCTTTTTTGTATTTTTTTCTTAAAGAAAGAAGGAAGGAAGGGGGAGGGATGATGATGGATGCCACGAATTTGTACTTCCTTGACAACTCCTGTCTCTGACTTTAACTTCCTAAAATTTCTCTATGAAGTACTTTCTTTCCCCCGACCAGATGGTTCAACTTATAGCATCCAACCCGATACACGGATAGGGTAGATTTTATCTGCCTTAATATTTTAAAAGATTTGTCTTTTTACCAGCTTGATGAAATATAATTAGCCCTGAAATGGAAATCAGGAGATCCATGTCCTTTCCTTATTCTACTAATAACTAGTTTTGTGACTTGGTCAAGCTACTCCACTCTCTGGATCCCAATTTCCTCAAAGACCAAAGAGGAATTTGTTACCAAGCGTCTCTTAAAAATGAGGATCTGCTTCCTTTATTACACAATTAACTGCTTTTATCAATTTTATAAAGCATGGGCCCACAAAAAGGCCTTTACCCATCCCTTCCATTAGAAGATGGTTGTCTGGAGAACTTGGGGGAAATATAGCACTGTCGGTTTTTGAGAAAGCACAGTACTCTTCATCAAATACCTCATGTTCTTTTCAGTGCTCAGATAAGTCATGCCTCAGGACACCTTCTCTGAAGAAGAGAGTTTCAGATGCCAATCTGGAAGGAAAAAAGGATTCTGGAATGCTAAAGTACATCAGACTTCAGGTACTGGCACCTGGGTCAGAAGCACTCATTAAGCGTTAACAGAGAAAGGACTCGGCAGGCTGTTTACTCGTGTCTGGGACATAACAGTGTCAGTTGACACAGTGTCATCATAAAGCCTTTTACTTGACGAGTGAGAGTGCCATCAAGTGTGCAAGGAAAAGAAATCCCTTCTTGCTAGACAGCCAGCTTTCACAGACAAGGCTGGGAGAATTTGGCTGGAACAGCAACGCTCCCCACTACAGGGGAGCTAATTTCCCCCTAGTGTCCAATGGTGACATTCATAATTGTTGGAATGAGATAGTCTGGGTTCATGTCTCATGTCTGTTGTTCTGGCTCTGAGACCATGGACAAATTATTTCGTTTTTTCTTGGTCTTAGTTGCCTTATTTATAAAATGGAGATTATAACACCAGACCTATCCCAAAGGAAAATTGCATGGATTAAATAAAATAGTGTATTTGCCCACTTATCCAGTGCTTGACACATTGTTATATTGCAATTGTAGCCTAAGCTGTAAATCACAGTATCGCCCCTCTCCCCTCAAAAGCTATGATTTTCTGGAATGTGTTTAAAATGGGGACTTGCCTAGAAACTACGTTATCTGAAATAGTGATTTAAATAGGATTTTGTGGGCTAATCTGGGCAATAAACACAATGTATAATGTGTTTCAAAGGGAAATGCCATCCAAGTTCACACTGGTTTAGGAAACTCCCTTTCTAAATGGACTTCTTCAATTAGATACTGTTTACAGTTTTCAGTGGAATTTCACTAATAGAAAGGAACATAGGATCCTTTAAACATCCATCAAGACTTTTAACACAAAGATATATTTGCTGCTGGGCACGGTGGCTCACGCCTATAATCCCAGCACTTTGGGAGGCAGAGTTGAGAGGATTGCCTGAGCCCATGGATTAGAGACCAGACTGGGCAACTTGCAAGACCTCATCTCTAAAATAAATAAAAAATCAGCCAAGCATGGTGGTGTGTGTCTGTAGCTCCAGCTATTGGAAGGCTGAAGCGGAAGGATCGCCTGAGCCCATCAGGTCAAGACTGCAGTGGCCAGGAGCGTGCCATTACTCTCCAGCCTGGGTGACTCAAAAAAAGTAAAATAAAAATAAGTCACTGCAATGATTTTTTTTAAAAAAGATATATTTGCTGGAGGGTTTCTTTGTTATTTTTTCCTGTAGAGTTGTACTCATTCTGTAGTTTATTCCTTGGGTGGTTGCAAAGCAGTTTTATGGTGAAAGTGTTATAAAACGAGTCATTTTTTTCTATGTATGCTTCAACTAATAAGGTATAAGGCTTATCATACACCATGTCAACGAAATATGCTCCCATTTTAGAAAGTGTTTTAAGGTCTCTAAGGCAAGCAGAGAGAGGGGATGTGGCTCTTAAGTTTCAGGAGGAGTAGAGCAATTCGTGTCTGAAAACATCTTGCCATATGCTATTTCCGTTTTCCCAGGTGATGAGCTTGTCGCCTGCCCCCTTGTCTCTGTTGATCAAGGCAGCGCCCATTCTGACTGAGGAGATGTTCGGAGACGTCCAGCCGGCTGCCTGGGAGCTCCTGCTCAGCATGGATGAGCACATGGCTGGGGCCGCAGGTGAGAAAGACCCCGGGGACCTCGCACCTGCTGCCACCACCATTACGGATTCCAGTGTTTAAGCAGGAAAGACGCATGCATTGTTTCCACTTCTAGTTCAGGTTGATGGCCGTGGCTGTCACTGTTCAGACTCAGAACTGTGTGCCCCAGGAAAGGGGAGCCCAGGTTTCATGTGTTCCCTCCCACTCACGATGTGGCTTGCCTAGGAGCAGCATGTCTCTCCCAGGGTGTTAGCAATTTTTTTTTTAAAAATTTATTTTAAAGATGCAGGGTACAATTCAGAGGTGGGTATACAAATGTTCATTATGCAGTTACCCTTGTGGATGAGGTGTGCTCTCCACCTTCCCTGGCAGTTTCCCACTCCTGCCAATCCCGCCCCCACCCTCCCCTGGCAGTTTCCCACTGATACCAATCCCCACGGTCCCCTCCCCTGGCAATTTCCCACTGGTGCCAATCCCTTCTTATAGTATTACAATAGTTGTTCAAGGTCTGCTTATGAGTGAGAACATGTGACACTCAGTCCTTTGTTTAGCCTCTAAATCCATCCAAGCTGCTGCAAAGTTCATAACTTTGTCCTTCTTTATGGCTGCTTAATATTCCAGCGTGTATATGTACCACATTTTTTTAAACCCAGTACTCTCTCGATGCGCAGCACAGTTGGTTCTATGTTTTTACTATTTTGAATAATGTTGCAGTAAACATGCATGTGCAGGTATCTTTTTGATAGAGTGATTTGAGTTCCTCCAGACATGTTCCCATTAGGGGTATTGCGGGGTCATATGGGAGGTCAGTTTTTAGATCTTTTAGGAATTGCCACAACATTTTCCACAGAGGTTGTACTAGTTTACATTCCCACCAACTGTGTAGAAGTGTTCCCCTTTCCCCACATCCTCTCCAGTATCTGTTGTATTTTGAGTTATTGATGATGGCCATCCTGACTGAAGTTAGGTGGTATCACAGTGTGGTTTTAATTTGCATTTCTTTTATGACTAGTGAAGCTAAACATTTTTTTCATGTATCTGTTGGCTGCTCATATGTCTTCTTTTGAGAAGTGTCTATTCATATCTTTTGCCCATTCTGTAATGGGACTTTTTGTTTTTTCTTTTCAGCACATTTGAGTTCCTTGTAGATCCTAGAGGTTAGGTCTTTGTCAGACATACAGTTGGCAAATATTTTTTCCCAATCTGTGGACTGTCTCCCCTCTCTCTTGATGATTTCTTTTTTTTCTTTTTTTTTTTTGAGTTGGAGTCTCACTCTGTCACCCAGACTGGAGTGCAGTAG